TCACAACGTTTTGAGACTAATTATTCTGGCTTTTAATAGAAAGAGGATTTTTATTGTCCCTGTTGAAAACCATATAGTTTCCCTCCCTCCCTTTTAACAGCACAATATTTGCTGCAAATGTCTAGATGACAAATCACACAGGTAACAGTTTTCTTGTCTGAATGTAATCTTCATTGTACTATTCCAGGCACACTGCCAAGCAAGGGCTAAAATCAGGGCTAAGGCAATCTAATTGCAGAAAAATGTGTAATTACAATCAATACTATATGTACAATTGCACCTTCCAAACATGAATCTGCTCTTTAATGGCTGGCAGAGTTGCATTTTCAGTTCTTTTTTTTAAAAAAAAAACACCTTCTGTCATTAAAAATGAGGCTTCTGCAATCATGTTCTCAGACTGATAGCCATCCTCCTCCCAACCTCTGACCCTTGTAATCTTTTTACCTCTTGGTCTGTTCCTAATGAATCTGATAAAGGAGGAGAGACCTTGAGATAAACAAGGCCCATGAACTCGTATTAATTGGGTTGAAAGGACATACATATATGTTGATAGACATCTACCTATGAGCGTATATTCATATATATACATCTATCTACCTATCTGGTCATATATATGAACATTAATAAAGATAAGTTGCTTTTGGTTGATCTTTGACTTACTTTGCTAATTGATGGAAAATGTAGCAGTTACTCTGTGTTTATACAAGCTGTCTAACCAGCTCCTCTTCTGGGTTGTCTTTTAGAATGAAAGGTACTTTCTTCTGACCATGAATCCTGATGCGCTTGGGCACTCTCCAATTCTGTTCTGTTAAGAGCTTTCCTATCCCTTGAGAGACTTAAAACATACTTCCTAACTGCTTAATTCTCTTTCCTTTCCTGATGACGCCAAAAAAAGCTTTTATTTCTTTTTCCTTTTCAGATTAAAGAACATGTTCTCTTCCCTTGATATTAGTACAAAGCAATATCTTTGCTTGTACCCACCGTCAGTTTATTTCCTCGATGGTAGGACACTCACCTCCTGTAATTCTTGATTTTTTCTTATTCAAAGTTGTGTCTTTTTAAGTCTTAATTTTAGTATCACTTTTTTTTTTCCCCCAGAACTGATGCTTTTAGATATATGATCCATTTGATTTCTGCAGCAATGTTATATTTTCTTCTAATGAAAGACCCTGAGAGTTGGAGTGCTACAAGAACCCTGTATGTCTATTCGGTGCACATTTTTTTAGCAACTTGCAGTTTGGCATTTATAATCCATCTTTTTCTGAATGCAGTATCTTGGGCCTTAATGTTTGCAACAGAGCCTGCAGCTCCGTGTAACGCTTTTTGTAGACTCCAGCTTGAACTCCATATGCTTATCTGCCTCAGGTACTTTATCTGTTTTATGAGTGCAGATTTCTCCTTTCTTCTGTATTTGACCGTTTTCTTGAAGTGTTTTAGATTCTCTGCCATCTCTACAGTGCCCGGCCACCATTCACCCCCTGTAGATCATTTTATTTATTTCTTATAATGTTTTGCAAATTCTGATTTCTTTGTCACAGGATAATTTTGGGTTTGTTCAGTCATCTATTTTTGAGTGTTAGGCAAAGCTAGTCTCTTTTCATGGATATTGTCAGATTGGTTCTTTAGTCCCAGACCTGTTAAAAACTGACACCTTTTTTCACTTTTTTTTGCTAGCTCCACTTACACCTTCTATTTTGTGGTGGAGCATAGGACTTGTCAAACTCTCTGTGGTACAATTTACAGTTAACCTATTGTTCCTGAGGAAAAGCAAATCAAATGAAAGTAATAAGTCCTTCAGAACCAACCACAGTCAGAAATAAGGCCCTTTTCTGACTCTCCTTTTTATTTCTTGATGGCGCCACGCTGCTGCAGATACAGACCGAAGCAGTGGTTCCATTTTCAATAATACGATTTTTTGGAAGTGCTCAGCCTCTAAAAGGCTCCATTCCTCCCATCAGGACATTTCTTAGTTTTTTTCTACTCATGTCACTACTGTATTTGAAAGTTACCCAAAGCCAGTGAGGCCATTGGAAGCCTGAATGTCTCTTTTCTTACAGATCAGCACTGTCTCGCATGAAGATGCAAGACAACAGGTCTCTACTGGATCTAGTGGAAGGCTTGCAAAAGACTGTCTAGTGAAAATGAAAGCATGTGTGCCTCAAGCCATAATCAGTCAGGGTAGTTACTTTCAGGTGGTAAATAGTTTCTAGGACTCTATTTTCAAATGAGGCAATTTGGAGAAGCCAGCTGTAAATCTGCAATGAACCAAAAAAAAAAATTAAGAAGCAATGAGCTACCATTTTGAATTCATTTTGCAAATACTCATCTGGAGGGCAAGAATATTGGAATGCTTTGCTCATCTTTCCTTGTTTCTATGATGCAGAGTCCATCACGCTGGGATTCACTCTGTCTAATTAATACCACAGTTGCCTGTGATGTCTGTTCTGTGCCTGGTGTAAGAAGAGAAGTACTTCAGCACAAAGGAATATCACCCTCTTCACGGCTGCTCAGTCCTTCTTCCTCCCTCACTCTAATATGAAATAACTATTGCACATATACTTTACAGACTGTCATAAAATATCCTATGGAGCTCAACTAAAGCAATGAGAGCCATGATAATTCCTCATGTGTTTATTAGAGCAGCAGCCAGGCTGCTGATGGGAGCTGCAGCAATATCCAGTGAAGACAGCTGAGTTAGTCAATGTTGAATTGCTCAGGGGCTAAAGGGAGAGCAAACAACTATGTAGTGCACTCACAGTAAGAAAAGCAGATTGTTCTTTTATAGTTAAAGGTGAGTAGCTCTCCTGGTTTTCTGCTTAGTAACAGCTGAAAGGCTGCATAAGCAGCCCATTCTTTTACTTGGGTGTTGTTAATACCTAATACTGCTGGGAGAGTTTAGAGTCCAAATTCACTAGTCCCCTTGGTCCTGTGTGGAAGTCACAACAGGGAAGCCCATCAGTGTTGCAGCTTTCAGCCTGCCAATAGCATTTGGCATGTGACTTTTTGTTTAGAGTCCCCCTGCATTGTGGTGAAAGCTATATCACTGCCTGTCTTCCTCAAGGGATTTCTGGTGCCCATTTCGATTGTAAGAGAAATCCAGAGGCAACAGAAAGATTACCTGAACATTATTTCACAAGAGAGTAAACTTAATCAGTTCCTCAATGTTACTGTTATTCATCTTCCTATCTTGACACAAACCTGTTGCCTGTGTGATGCTCCACTGAGGCTTTGAAGAAGATGCAAGAAGGTCTACTAGAAAAAAAGGAAAGAAAAATGATCTTAGGTGAAATGCTTTTCTTTTCAGACTTGCTTCTTTTAGGCTTTTGTCAAAAATCACAAAATCACAGAATGGGTGAGGTTGGAAGGGACCTCTAGGGACCATCTAGTCCAACCCCCCTGCTCAACCAGGCAGACCTAGAGCACGTGGCACAGGGTGGCATTCAGGCAGGTTTTGAAGATCTCCAGAACAGTAGACTCCACGACCTCTCTTGGCAGCCTGTTCCAGGGCTCTGTCACCCTCACAGAATAGAAGTTCTCTCTCACATGAAGATGGAACTTCCTGTATTTTAATTTATACCCATTACCCCTTGCCCTGTCACTGGCCACCTCGCAGAAGAGTTTGACCCCATCCTCCCTGCATTCCCTCCTCAGTTACTTACACATATTAAAGAAGGAACAAAATTAGTCTTGGAAATAGTCTGGGGGAGGGAGAAATGAAAATGAGAAAAGAAAAATGTATCCAAGCAGATGAATGTTAGTAGTAGAATGAACAAATACACACAGCTAAAAATTAGCAGTGAAAATGAGAAAAAGATTTCTTGCCATGACGGAAATAAGTTCTGGGCTGAGATTCCAAGTAGAATACTTTAAAATCATTTCAGAAAGAGATTAATAAGTTCGTGGAAGGAACTGCACAAAATCAGAAGAACTGATGCTGGCATTAAAGTTCACATTTGGGATGAGAGGCTTTCTGTGTTTAATTTAGTGCTATCTACAAATGGAATTGAAAGAAGACTTAATCTCCATGTGTTTGCGGCACTCTCTTTATATATAATTAATTAATCCCATGCCTCAAAGCTTTTGCTAATCTCTTGCAAGGGCCAGGGAGAATTTTCCTTCTTCTGCATAACTTGGCTTTTGTTTTGATTTCACATTATCATTTATTTATTAATTTTTCCTTCCTCCTCTCAAACTGCAGAGATGATTGGCCACAGCTAGACCAGAAAAAAGGACAGTGTTTGATAGGGTCAGATGGCATCCCAGGTCTCATTGGGGAAATTTTTGAAATGGTTGGGTTGTCTTGTTCATATACTTAAAAATTAAACTTCTGAACCTCGCAAACAACAGAGAAACCTTTTTTTTGGCCAGGGCAGAACCAGTAGTTTCTAGGAGAGCTTTCTTCTGACACAGCGTGCGGCAGGGGCCACTTCCTAGGATTACCACTGAGAAGTTATCAGCATTCGCATTTCTTGTACATTCTTGAGGTTTCCTGTTACTGTAGAAATTTCAAATCTTGATTGCATTTTGACATCTTCCGATCTCCCTCAGGGCACCTCATAAGGTCCGTGTTTTTTACTTTTTGTTGCAATCTGTTGTTTTCTGTAGGATATGCTATGCCTCATGCTGTGCCTAGGGACCCTTCCTGCCTCGTCTCATTGCCTCGTGCTTTCCTGAAGCTGCCCTTGGTGACCCAGGCAGTCCCATGCTCTGAGTTGTTCTCTTTCAAAGCAATAACTCTGAAATGCTCTTTATGCCAGTATGGAGACATGTGTCTAAGAACAATACATATAGAGGGCTAATCTAGAGATCACTGAAGTCACAAGATGGATTTGCTTGTGAAAGTAAGGAAGAAACTGAAAATCAGTTTACTTGCTGAAGAATAAGTATATATTTCATACAGCTTTTTAAAATTATTTTTGCTTTCCTTCAAAGAGACAAAGATTCTTGAAAGAAGTGGGGGAAAAGCTGAATATCACTTTTCTTTCCTTTTGTATTTCTTTGCAGGCTCCATCTATGAAATGTTTGGAAATGAATGCTGCCTGTCAACAGGAGAAGTGATTAAAGTTATTGGATTCAAAATTAATAAGCTCATAGCAAGCATCTGTGAGAATGATGAAGATAGCCAGATTTCAGCCAAAGTGGAATTACCACTGAATTTTCCTGGTATCGTATTTCATGAATACGTGTTTTTGAGGAATAATAATCCTGAGTAATCACCTTTGTTCATTTTATTGATTTGCTGTCTCGAATGATATTTGTCTGAGGTTACAGCTCAGCTGTCAAGGATGCAATTTTACTGGATTGTATGAGACACAATTAACTCATTTTTAAATTTCAACTCTTACGTTCTCTTTCCTGCCTGGATAGAACTTACGATTGTTAAAATTTTAAGTAGTAATATTTTCTACACTTCAGAACTCTCAAATTTAAGAGTCAGGAAACCCTCTTTTCAGTTAGCTGAGACTTTGGTGAACTTTGAGCTGAAGTTTTACCTCTTGGGTGCTCAAACTATAATTTATTTAATATTGATGTATTATTACTTTACTATTCTGAATGTAAAATATTTAAAGTACTTGGTTATACTTTGTTTATTTTATTTTATTTTATTTTATTTTATTTTATTTTATTTTATTTTATTTTATTTTATTTTTATTTCAAATGGCCAAAGTGGCTGGGCCATGCCTGGGACTAAGATGAGGGGAAAGCAAATGTTTTGATTTTTTTCTGCTGAAAAAAAGTTCAGATTATTCTGTAGAGGAGTCCCAAGACAGTCATTATTTGGAGTGTGGACCTGAAATTTGGCCTCTGGCATTGACTTGATATTTAAGACATGTCTTTTTCTGTTCATATGCCCTTGTTAGGGAGTGCTGACCAAAAAAAAAGCATTTTTGGCAACTCATACATGTCATTTATTTTATTTTTCAGTTCCGCTTTCATCTGAGCTCTTTTATGATTAGAGCCCAGTGTGTTTTGAAAAGGAAAGTGACTGAATTGCCGAGGGGGAAGCACTGGACTCTGTGTGTGTATGTGTATGTTAAGGGCAGGAGGAATGGGGGAAGAAAATGAGATTAGAAAATTGTTAAGATCTGACTTAGAATTGGGAGCAGGGAAGAAGAATAAAGCCTTGATATGCAAAGAGCTGGGACTGGAATGGAAGCAAAGCTGGGAATCTACCTCCCAAAGGGACTACAACTCCCTACGCCCAAAACAATACATATACATATATATATATGTATGCATGGGATTTCCCATGCTAAGAGAGGTGATGGGAGTCCTGGACCCTCCAGGTGAAGGGACTGGAGCTGAGGGAGGAAGCTGGCAGGACTTGAGGATGGCATCTGGGCAGGATGGCTGCTCCAAGGGAAGCAAGGAGATGCTCACAGATGGGATATCCAGGGAAAGGGTGCAGGTGATGGCACTTCAGCCCCTGAAGCAGTTTTCAGGATGCCAAATTACGAGATTTCATGGTGAGAGGGATGTGGGTTTTTTAACACAGTAAATTACATGCAGACATAGGCAGCTGTCAGAGTAAGGTTATCTGTACAAGGACGATAGTCAAGGTCTGTAGGAAATAGTGGAGAACTCCCAGATCATTATTTTCTTGCAAGTCCCTGTCACACTTGCTGCCCACTTCTGCTGCACCTTCTGCAGCAAATGAGATGGGGATCTGAAAGATCACACGGGTTTTCACTACCTCACTCTGATTCAGTCCCAAACCACAGTCTAACTGGTACACTGAATGAGGCAGCACTCCTACAGAAAAAGAAAATAGCACAGAAAGATTTAATTAACACTGTATTGCAGTGTATGCGTATTGGAGGCTATATCAAAAGTCTTCACAGGGAAGACCAATATGGATATCTGCTAATGTTTGACACGTATCTTGGCATAACTGCTTGTCTTCATAAGCTCATTGGTGTTCTTCTAATATCCTGCTGTAAATATGAAGACATATGCATGTGCATATATATTGCTTAGATTATGCCAGTGTCCAAATTGTTACAAGCATTTTTGCACAGGAAGGCAAGATCTACTTCTGGACCCAAATAAAACATGTGTAAAAACACATAGGAGTTCACTGTTTCATCTGAATTCCAAGGAAAATTTCTTATGCTATGTCTTCATTTTCCGTCTTCAAAATATAGATTTCTCCCTGAAGTAGTCCTTTGCATCATTTTCTGTTTCCCAGTGGATCTTCACTTTACTTTCATATTCTCGTATTCTGTAAATCAGAAAATTTGTATGGCCATTTGTTAAAAAGATTTTTTTTTTCGGAGTACGTGCCATTTTCAAGCACTGATAGAGCCCAGATGTAGCAATTAAAAATATTTTAATTATTTGTGGCTATTTAGAGATATTAAAGAGCTGCTGTTTTCTGAACTCTCCAGATACTTTGCATTTTTTTTGAATTCTAAGCTTCTTTGCTATTATTAAAATTTATTCCATCGCTATTGGAGGTTATATTCAAACTCTTGATTGGCAGAAGTTTGAACACTAGATTCCTAAAACATCCAATGTAATTGAATGATAAAAGTAATGCTACATTTATTAATGTTGCATCTCCTGAATTTTAGGAGAGAGTGACTTGTCATTTCAAATGCTTCAGCTGGGTGATTCTGGATTTGTTGACGTTTAACTGATCAGGCTCACAATTTGTCTTATCAAGCACAGACTTAAATTCAGTGTAAGCACTGCAGTTTGCATGCATGCCTACAAACTTTCACAACTAGTATTCTAGAAACCTGGGTATTTCTACACTAACTTGTTTCGCCGGAAGTATAAACTCAGGGTTCATTTTGCTAAAATTATTGTCCTACCGATAGATAGTACTGAAGAGCAGCACTGAAGAGGGTTATAATATCACTTTTTATCAGCCCAATAAAGAGCACCATTGTCTCTGTTTCTCTCTCTGTATATGTATCCACTTGCGCTCTTTTCAGTATCATAAAACTTTGTCATGTCTATTTCTTAGATAAAGAATGCCTGTACTTTACAAGGATAATTTGCCCCACTTTTTTACCTTTCTCCCTTTATTAAAACTGTTTTTTGTTAACTTTAATAACTTTATTAATACTTTAATAACTTTTTTTGCAATTATGATCTGGATGAAACATAATACTGTCTTGTTGCTGGCTTGTCCCATCTCTAGAACAAAGTGTAGAACGGAATTGAGTTGATTTTTTTACACTGTCACTGACTGACTTCAGTAAAAATCGTGTCCGTAGCACTCTGGCACTGTATTTACATTTTACTTAGAGTGTTCTCTTGCCAATGCTGATGTAAAGATATCTTTTGTTTTAATGTTATTTTCAATTATTTCCTTTACTGTGAGTTATCCTTTCCATGAAATGGGCCCATTTATCTTTTCACTATGTGCATGCTGGCATAAGTAAGCAACAATTCTACTTAGGTTACGCTGGAATAATATCTCTGTGAGAGAAGAACTGGGCTCATTGGCTTTAAACAAGCTTTTCTCTTTGTCTTTCTGAACATATTTTTAATCTACAGAATTCATTTTTTTTTCTGCTCTGGCAAATCAGATTCTACATAAAGGCCTAATCTAGCCTTCGCATTAGAGAAATCACTGCAACCGCAAGTTCACTATGTTACTTAATTTTAGTCTCATACTAATAATTCATTCTTTTCCGTGCCTCAGAGTGTCAGACTATTCTTTCTGTGTTTATACACTGGACCAAAAAAAACAACCAAACAAAAACCAAAACACATACACACACAAAAAAAAAACAAACAAAAAACAAACAAACAAGAAGAACTGCTGTTATTTTAGCCACTTCAATAACTGCATCTAACAGAATTTTGAAACACAATTTTCACTACTAACAAGTTTGCAGAAACAGGCGATTTATACACCTGAATTGTGTGCTAGGACAAATTATTTTATTTTATATAGTCCTTTTGTTTTATATAGTCCTTGTTCTGGAAAAACCTTGCTGGGTTCCCTTCCTTCTCAGACCTATGACAGTTGTTGCTGCTCATTCCTATGTGATCTCCCGAACATATAGCTGAGCACTGTTATCCCTTTGAGCTATATCAGCTTTCATGAGCCACAAGACAGGAGACCTGTCCATAGCCATGCAGCACACAAGCAGAAGAACTGGGATTAGACCCTAGAAGGTTTCTTCTACGAGATTAAACACTGCCGACCTGAAGGAACCCAGCTGGAGCTACCAGAGTGAAATCTTAAGGCAGAGGTGATGTCTACTACGCTGCTTCTTGGGTGATGAAGCTTACCGCTTGAGGAGGGATGGTAAGGAGCTGAAGGGGACCAAAGGCTCCAAAGATTTGCCTGCTTTCTTACTTTGAGCTTCATATCAGCATGGTGGACCCTGACTGGGAAAGTAGTGCAGAAAAAAAAAGATATCAATCTGGGAAGAAGAAAAAGGACAGAAAGTGGTGACAGCAAAGGGTCAGCCTTTGGGAGAAGATGGGAAGAGGATGATGCTGGAGCAGAGGAAGGAGAGGAGGGAGGGCAGTCAGCAAAAGAGAAATCACTTTCCTTTCTTCTGCTTTATTTTGAAAACTGTCAGTGTAGGTCAAGTGTTTTTTCTGCTTTATTTTCCTTGAAAGATACTAGGTGAGGCTCACTGCTGTTTTTCTCTATTTTTCTTGGGCAAGGGGGCTGGGAGGAGAAAAAAAGAGAATGAAAAGGACAGTCCTCTCCTTCAGGACTCTAAGACTGAAAATGGGAGGTACGCTTTGTAACTACGTAAGTAGTAGAAGAACCACATGTTACTCTGTGAAAAGGCGTTCGCCAGAACCATGCTTTGCCATAGGACTAAATGGGTGATCCTCACGCCTTATTTTCTCTCCCATGCCAGTAGAAATAACTTTTTTCAGTGTCTCAGCCCCCTCTTCCTTCATCATTATATTTACATACATCAATGTTTAGAGCATTTTCTGGAAGCTAGGTTTGAGACTGACTAATTATCATATTACTTTAGCTACTGAAATGCCACTAGGTGCATTTATGTCATTATTATGTATGCATAATTTTTCCTATATTTTTCCCCAAACCATTGGTCAATGGTTGGTTGCAGACCATATTATACTTAGAAAGCAGATCTATGTGAACAATAATGCCAGCTCTAAATATGCCAGATGGACTTTTGCCAGATTCACTTTATCCCTCTATTTCTAGCTTTCACATGCCCAAGCGGAGAAAAGATCCAGTCTTTTCTCTTAGGAAAGTCTAAGCAAATTTAAGTAAGTCATCCACTTTATGATTTATGAAAGAAAAAAATATATTTTTGTTTGACCTCAAAATGTCCAAACTTTAGCATCTCAGACTTACCATATGTCTCCTTGTCCAGAGGATTCTTCATTATGTTAGATTTGGAAATCATTTGATTTTGTAATTTCATTCATAATGACTTTAAGAAGGTTCTGAACAGTTACAGAAAACAGCTTTTAAAAGCATTTCCCCATGAAAAACAAATAAAAGTACCATAGCAAGGAGGGTATTTGTGGGTAGACCACATGGCAGATTTTGACAGTTAGTTAGGAACCACAGCAATTTTCACCCATCACGCCAGAGTAACTTTTTACATATTCATCTCTTATCTGCAGAGAGAGAAACATATGGAACTTTACATACTCATAAGCAAAAACAGGTGGCTCTTAGGTGCCTTTAATTCCTAGACCTCATCAACAGAGAAGCTCACACTGCAAGGCCGCATGATTCTTTGCCCATGCAAGCGTTCTGTTACTGAAACTAAGATAAGCAGAAGGATGGGAGAGGAAAAATTTTCTGCTCCCTGCACTGACAAAAACAGTCTGCCTGGGCCTGAGGGGATGATCAATTGTCTAGTTTTGTATGAGACCTGATGATTGTACTTCCATACAAAATCTGCTTTCCAGCACAGACTGCTCATCAGTTTGCTGCTAAATTTACTGCCTTCCAAACAGCTCAGTTATCCCAGGGAAATCAGTAGAGCCCAAGTCTAGCGTCAAACTCCCAGAGGAAAGGAGTGTTTCTCATACCTGTTCCTTGCCAAATAGTCTCAGATGCAAATTTTTTTTTTTTTCATGTGGCTTCCGGAGGTTTTTTATCAAACTTCTGGATGTATTCTAGAGGCAGCACATGTGCTTCTATCTGGTGGATGGGTAAACATAGTTATTGCTGTCGGGATACATCATGTGTACTTCGAATACATCTTTTTAAGGAAGAGTTTTCCTATGGCCTTTCTCCCAGCATTGCCAGCATGACATCAGGACATTGTTCAGGGAATGTTTTCCTTTCCTCCACTTTGGTTTGTCATCAGGGTCTTCTCACTAATATTTTGTAAAGGCTGATGAATGAAGCTCATCTTGATCTGCATTGGCAGCTCTCATGATTAGGACTGGGAAAACTAGCTTGCTTGCTAATAATGATACTAAAAACAGCTGTAAGAAATGTTAAGCAGACTGATGAGAACAAAAAGAGTGTTTAAGTTGTGCCTGTGTAGTTACATTCATGCACACAGCTTTGCTGCAGCCTAGCTAAAATCTGGAGGCTTTTCCTTGCTGCCATGAGGATGTATGTGTAGAGGATATATTTGCACAAGCATTCTCATTTCACATAGGAACATCTAATTATCATGAAGACAACTATGGAGGCGCCAAATTGTGGAAAGCAGTTACATAGGCACAACTAGTTACTATTTCAGCAGTAAATCAAAAAGGTGGTTACTGTTCAGGCTGCGGGCAAGTGTGGTCAGAGCTGTTGCCACAGTTACAAGTGGTCTCGTGGGGTACCTAGAACCAGCCATGACCAACCTGATGCTAAACTCAGCTAAAAGCTCTTCAGCGCACAGAATCTTAATGGTATATCTTCTAGCAACAAAGGTGCAAGAGCTATGATATGACTGCAGCAGTTTTTGTTGTAGTGGATCTAGGATCAAAGTGATTCTGTTGCAAAAACATGGTTGTTATGGTGGAAGGCATGGTTTGATGCATCTTGGTTTTAGGAATATATCTTAAGAAGCCCCAGTTGAAGAAGCCCATCTGTGCAGGCCCCTCCGCTGTGTTGATAAAACCTTGTGTTTGTGTGGTATAGGTGAAAAGGAACTGGTCTGGGAGAAAATAAGAAATCTGGAGGTTATTTTTAACCACAGCAATTTCCTAACCTAATTTGTTGAGCAGTGCCTCGGTTATGGGGAAGGATACTGTACCCTTTTATGGTCCATAGGAGGCAAAAATGTGGAGCAGCAGCACCCAGGGGTGTTTGTCTGGTTGGCTTTTGGGGAAAAGGAAGGAAGGAAAGAAGGAAGGAAGGAAGGAAGGAAGGAAGGAAGGAAGGAAGGAAGGAAGGAAGGGAGGAAGGGAGGAAGGGAGGAAGGGAGGAAGGGAGGAAGGGAGGAAGGGAGGAAGGAAGGAAGGAAGGGAGGGAGGGAGGGGAAAAACACTGTGAATGTCCCTAGGAGGTTGTCTTTGACACTGCAACTACCAGTTGTGGCTGCCCTGGCTTGCAAACGTGGCCTGGGAATAACCTCTGCATTCAGTTACGCTCCCTAGGAAGTGAGCCTGACTCCGTGATCATGCAGGAAAGTTACAGTATAATTCCACGAGGCAGCAATCACACCGCTGTGCCCTGGGAAGGAGACAGCTTAATCGCCCAGCTCTGCTAAGCCCCACTGCTTAGTCCACTAAACTGTCTACTTCATCTTCCTCTGTGGAAACATGCACACAAATACAGATATGTACACATTCCTCTGGCTGGGTGGACTCCTAATGAGACAGCTCCACGGGGCATGATTAACATGAAATAATAATGTCCCTAGGGGCTAGTGAAGCCCGGATGCAGCTTCACCGCTGCAGAACTTCAGCACTTTAACTGTCTCGGGAGAGTCACCCTGCTCCTGTGGCCAAACTGTGAATTATTCCACCTGCTCATCTGGGCTATCAGTTGTGCTAAAATCAAATTCTTTTGCTTATTCTCTTCTATAGGCGTTATTTTGCATGCATATGCTGTTTCTTTAAGCATATTTGGTCTAGAAATACCCAGTCTGCATATGCAAGTGCAGATAGGATAGATTTTTAGGGAGCAACTTAATCATGCATTTCACTGGTCATCTTGCTATTTCTCTTCTTCATACTGTGTCTACATTTATTTCTTTAAGGCTGGTTTCCTGAGAAGACAGGTAGGAATTTGAGATAATTTGTCTATTTATTTATTTATTTATTTTTGCAGTAGCAAAGAATCTAACTTTTTTTCTTTTTATCACGAATGTAAAAAAGCCAGAAATTTTTAAGTTGCAGAGTAGAAAGGGCTAATTCTAGCAATTCACATTTTGTATCATACAGTTGATTTCATCTTTATAGAGTCACACTTCCAGCAACAAAATTATATCAGTCACAAATTATTTAATATGCTCTGACCACCGTTCACAATATAAAATGGCTTTGTACTTTTTTTTTCCTTTTATAACTCAACTTCTCCACTTTAGGTCTTTATAAGGTTGTAGCTGATAAAACTCCATACCTCAGTGTTGAAGAAATTACACGAAAATTCTCTATTGGGCCAACTCGATTTGGCCATCCATCTTTCTATTGCCCTGAGGATATAAAATTGGCAAACCTCACCATCAAACATGGTGAGCAGATCACCTTTAGCTCCGTGGAAGAGATCGATGGAACAATGGCAGTGAACTGTGGCGTGGTCAGAAATAACCAGTCCCATTCCTTTACTTTGCCCCTTTCACAAGAAGGAAAATTCTACGAGTGTGAAGATGACCAGATATACACTCTGAAAGAGATTGCAGAATGGAAAATCCCTAAGAGCAGAAACCGGATTGTGAAACTTTCCAATACTTTACACGTGTGGGACTCCTCTAATCCACTTCCTGAGAATTTTGGTGGCTGCTTGATTCTCACGCCTGTCTATGAAGTAAAGGCAGTAATGAAATGTAAGTAAGAACCAGTTCCTCATTATATGCCAGAATGTTCTTAATCACACACAGGTTGTTCAGAATTCAATTGTAGGCAGGGATCATTTTAGCCAATAATTCCTGAATCATATTTACCACTGCTGCTAGTTTCAAGATTGTAAAACATAAAAATGATATTACAATTTGTTTCTTCTACTACCCCACAGTTTCCTTGCATTTCTTTCTCTTGCTATTTTATTGATACTAATGTCACTACAATTAAATCATCTTTGAAAGGAAAATATGCTGCCAAGTAAAAAGCAGGCTTAGGAATTCAGTTCAGTTCTCAGATTCTCTTACTTTGAATTTCTGACTTTGATCAAGGAGAAGTCCTTTGGCCATTTATGACTCTGGCTAGCAATTGGTGAATAGATATAGATATACATGTTGTAATACATGCTGTTTATGAACTGCATTTACTTTCTCAGAGTGCCGCAGAAAGTTTCTCCATTGCAGAAGCTACTGTCAATAGAATGTAAGCAGAAAGACTCACGGACAATTCTGAAACCTCTGGATTTGAGGAAAGCAATGCAATGTTTATACCTATGCCATACTTTAAACTTGTTACTGAAATTAGTCATGGGAATAAAATTAGAAGGTATGCAAGGGTATGAACACAGCGAAATGCTCCCGAGTTATGGCAGCTTGAAGAGCTGAGCAGCAGTAATGAGCCATGTGTGCATACACAGCCTACCCTCTCTCCATTGAGTGCAAAAAAACCGCCTAAGCTGAAAAGTTTGACCTTGCTTCTGAGGCTGAGGGCAGCCTGGGCAGTAATTGTAAACCCTTCTACTTTTTTGTGCACTCATACTGCTAAGGTTTGCATGATAAGAATTTAGCTTTTGAATAGATTGTGCTGCTCATTGCCTTTACTAGAAGTATGTTAGTCAGCTCCACAAAAACAAAATCATATACTAATACTCATCAGGATATTAAGCAGGAACTCTTTTCACAATGGAGTTTTTTTCCTGGGGAATGACATGTGTAACTGGATAAAGTATCAGGATATTAAGCAGGAACTCTTTTCGCAATGGAAAATGGTTACATGTGTAACTGGATAAAGTACACCCACACACATACACACACAAAAAGAGAGAAGGCAGGCGGTGGCTGTTAGCACAATATACTGTAAGTTTTTCCATGAGATATTGCACTGTGTTTGTGTTTCCTATTGAGATTAATGTGTAAGTTTGGAATGTACAATTTAATGGATTAAAATACTTAGTTTTCCCAGTCCTGCAACTGGATCAACTTAAGTGTATCCTTATGCCCCCTTAGCAGCTATAGGTGCTGGAGTACTAAAAATTGTTTCTTTTTTTATTATTTTTTTTCTGAAGATCTGGCAATGCTAGGTGTGCACTTGTGTATGACAAGAGAGACAGCTGATTACATTTTCAAAGGCAGGAATCCTTTGAACTTCCCATTCTTAATAATGAACAATATTATGTATGTGGGATTCCTCTAATAACTCACAGAAAATTTTCATTTTTAGAAATCATTCCTCCTTTGGGGATATTCCCTTGTGGTGCTCCCTTGTGGAGGCTATTTGTTATCTGAAGATGTTAATGTGACAAGAGAGGGAATAAACAGATATTGAATCACTGACACAACACTCTACCATACAAAGTGTCTTATAGTTATTTAAGAATTTAAAAAAATAAAAATTAAGTTTAAGAACAAAATACTGGTTTATGGTACTGCAAGGAAGTGTGATTCCATGATACATTATACACTGTGTGCACATCTAGGTAATACAAGTCTTAATGAAGACGATAATTAAAGAATATTTGCTTGTTAAATTTTATTGTCCCGGTCAGTGATCTGTGGTGTCACTGATCTGGAGCCAAAGTCTTAGACAATCTTTAGTTATATAGTCAGTTTTGTGCTTGGAAGCTTTGCATCCAAAATTTTGCAAGTTCAGCTGTGATAAAGGAGTTGTTGTTCCCTGTCAGATCATTAAATGCGGTGGCTTGGTTCTGATGGTGAATGAAACCAGATGCCTCAGAAAAAGATGCAAGAGTTTGACAGAAGACCTTTGTAGGGATTTTTTTCAATACAAAGGTTTTTCTTTCCTGAAAAATAAAAGGGATACTATTTTGTTATAATTATAGATTTTTTAAATGATTATTCTTATAACTATCAGTATGTTTTTTCCTACCATATTGGGTGTAGTAATATCTTGTACTAATGAGTCCTTAGGAAAAGACATAAATTAATATGAAATAAATATAAAAAAAGAGAAATACATCTTGTACTTAATAAAAAGAGTTTGATAAGAGAAATAGCTTATTAAACTTGGAGGTGCTGTGAGAAAGACAGTGAACTAGATTTTCCTCTTCCTTTTGCTTAATATTTTCTTTATTTGTGTACCTTTCATATCACCTCGTTTCTCTCTTGCTCCATGAGGAGTGTGCATGTCAGATAACTAGATAACTGCATATTTTGAATTAAAATAGTCAAGCTTTGACTGGTACTGGCAATAAATCTAAGCACAAAAGGAGCTACACACCTTCTCAGAAAAGGTCCTTTACAAATTTGGCCTATAGGGCATGTATATTTTATTTCGGTGTCAGACTGAAAACAAAAATGCATGTATTTTTTTTTCTTTCCAGTTCGAAAGGATATAGTTCATATCCTCTCAGATCTAGATGTTGAAGTCAAGGATATAACAGACTGTTATGATATTAGCTCTTTTCTTCAGCCACTGTCTTTGGAAGATGTATTTGAGAGAACAAGCAAGGAATTTCCTATGATTGCTGAGATAATGGAAGGGCCACAAGGAAGCCAGGAGCCTTATATTTTTAGATTATCATCTACAAAAAGTACCAGGCAAAAAGAGTCCTCGCTTCTGAGATCAGAAGTGATTCCCCAAAAAGACATTTTTTAATCCCTATGAGCTACAAAGGAAAGTTCAAGAGAAGACCTCGGGAGTTTCCAACTGCCTATGACTTAGAGATAGCAAGAAGTGAAAAGGAGCAGCTCCACGTTGTAGCAACTAAAGCCTTTGATTCTCCCCATAAAGAGCTTTTTTCTGTTTCTGTTGGAGATCAATTTCTAGTTCAGCAATGCCAGACTAGTGAAGTTCTGTATGAGGGAAGAAAGAAAGCTGTAGACGTTTTAGCCTGTGAACAAATACTAAGTAATACCTATAAGAAAGTGCTCATCCCTATGTATATGGAAGGTGGCTTTGTGGAAGTGATCCATGACAAGAAACAGTACCAGCTTTCGGAGATTTGCAAAGAATTTCGCCTGCCTTTTAACGTCAAGGTGTCTGTGAGAGATCTTTCCATCGGGGGTGATGTCTTGGCTGCTGTGCCTGGTCTGCAGCTTGAAGAAGAAATCACAGACTCATATTTGCTGGTCAGCAGCGTCAGCAGACCAGGGGACAGCTGGGAGATCCCTGTGTATCGCCTGAACATGTCAGTCCATTTGCTCGGCAAAGATGTCCAAGCGGTTGTACCCCCTGCCACTAGGACAACCGTAGAGGAGATCAGCGAAGAGCAGTACTATATGGTGCGAAGATATGAAAACCAAACCCTATATCCACCACCCAGGCCTCCCAAAAAGCCAGCAACACTTGCACCTAAGCCCCTTTTTGCAGTACCTGTGCGAGTGGTGTCTGGTGTACTGAAGGACCCAAAGGTAAGGCATCACTTCTTTGCCTTTGCTTTGAATCTGTTCCAATCACAGGTCACTTGCTACCAGTTTATAGTGCTTATCTTATTTGTGTATCCTTATGGCACCTTACACAGATGGCTCTCTCAGTTCTCTATAACAGACAAATTAGCCATTATAGACAACAGCAGCTAAAATCTCCAGTGTGCATTAATTGAGCTATAAAAAAATGGAGCCATGCCAACTCACAGCAGAAAGCTTGTCCTAGCAATTCTGTATGGATAAACCTTCATGGCACCTAGGCAAAAGTGAACAGAGATGCTTGAAATGGCTGTGTTTGGGTGGTTATTAACTGTGTGTTTTGGGGATACGTGTGAGGGTTTTGCTTACCTGGAAAAAGCAGAATTACGTTTCAGCAGAAAGACAAGCCGTACAGATATTTTTGGATGCATGTTTTTGCGCGTACCTAGGCGGCAATTTTTAAGTAAAAAGGGTAGCTGTTTTAAACAGAATTTGATGAATGGAAAAAAAAGTGTCTCTCAAAGGACAGTTTTCTTAGTAGCAGTTAACCTAAGCCAACGTTCATTAATTTTCCTGCTTATATTGAAAGAACTATTAAACCAAGGTGCCGCTGGACTTCAGCAGGGGAGACTATCCAGCAGATACATAACTTAGGTGACAGTTTCTCTTTTGCATGTGTTAAGGCAAATTCCCCTGCATGGAGCTAAAAAAAAGGAAAAAAGGGGAATGTTGGAAACTTTTCAAAATAGATACTTATGCTACTGAGGCCTCAGAACTTCAAATGCAATTTAATTCATGGAATTATATTTTGGGGATTCTGGGAAATGTGAAATAAAGAAGATCCAACTGTGATGACCCTAGAAGGGAGGCCTTTGCAAGTACCTCTCCTTAGCTGCTGTTTGTTACCTCAGTGCCTATTCCAGGACTCTGCACAGGTCTACACTCCACATAGTTCCTGGTAGGTGGTTACAACGAATCATCGGAGAAGTGGATTCATAAAGTGGGACCCTCAGATAATGCTAGTTCAGCAAAAAGCTATGCCATTTTCTTCCATCTGTGCTTGTGCTAGGAAAACAGTCTGATACTTTGTACAGTAAACTGTAGCAGCTTAAACAAACCATTTGGTTAGGTTAGTGTGAATAAACATGAGACTTGGTCAGGAGCTAAAAGGAGGTCTTCAGCCTGGTAGCAGCTTAAGGTACAGAGCTGGGGAAGGCTTCCCCCAATGTTGTGTTTCTGATATAACTGTGCCCTTGGTCAGATGAACTCAGGCTGTGTGTAGACACCAGCAAGTACATGCTGACTTGTGCAGGAGAGGATATTTGTTTGAAGAAGGGAGAAAGCAATTAGCATGAGAGGGTTGAGTTCAAGTTGCCTTGAACATTCATGAGTGAGAGTGACCTTAGACTGTAGCTGTCCAGACAGAAAAACACATTTAAGCAGACTGTTCCAGAGGGCATTTTTGCTACATGCCTTGCTATAAATAAATAATAAACTACAGTCAGAACGCTTAGACTTATGCAGATTTGTAAAGCTCCTTCCATGGAAAGGTGAAACAAGTAGAAATCCCTTATTCATAAGATTAAACACCCTGAGCTTTCATGTAATAGGTTTAAAGTCATGTAGAATGCATTATCTTGTCTGTCCCAAGCACAGCAAATCCTCTGAGACGATGCAGATCTCAGCTGATGGTCTCTGCTCTGGCCTTTCAGTCAGTGATGACAATAGGGGTGTCTGCATTTTCTTCTTGGGGATGTCTGAGGGTTCAGAAAGTTGGAGATTGCATCAAACTGATAAGTGGCTCACTTTTTGCATATTTTATGACTATGCCTAGATGTATTTGCATGAATAACAGACAAGAGTCCTAATGAGCCAAACTTAAGCCTGACAAGGTGGCAGCCTGGAATAAGCTTTAGGATTGCATGCATTGCCATGTTGCTTCTGCATAGCAGCCTATCTGGCGTTTAGAGAGCTCCGGTGAGAGGGTGGTCAGTGAGTATTTTTTAAATAAGGATCCAGCTTTCTGGGTTTTCAAGGTGAATATCCATGCAGAATAGCATGTGCAGAGCGCTTGCATCTCTGGGGCAGTGTTTTTCTCTTTCTTGTCCACTGGTTGGGAAATTCCACCAGGTTTGGCAGTCTGGAGCTAAATACTTTTGCTGGATTAGTCCACAGACAACTAAAATCTGGCCCTTCTGAGGATGTTCTACCCAGGTGGTCACTGCTAGCAAATGCTTGTGCTTGCTTACAGCAAGGTCATGAGGGGCGACTGGCTCCAGCTGTCTTTGCCTGCTACTCCCTGACCTTGATAAGGGGAAAAATAATGAAAGGAGAGGGGCTACATAGCGTATGTTTCAGTGTGTACTTTTGGCCATGCTCATCACTAAACTGGGTAAAACTAGCAGTCAGTATGGACAGGAAGTTACTGTGAACCTAAGGTAAGAGCCACTTCTGCATCTGTGCAAGGTGGAATACTGCAGCGATGGGCATGTGTGTGCAGTTTGGCACAGCAAAGCCCAGAGACATCAGATAAATTTTCAAACACAGTATAGCTGCATTCACCAAGAACTCTGCCCAGTGTCTTTACAGGGCTAATTAAGTTGGCTCTGCTTCTGCTGACACAGCTATCAACTCCAGAGCCGGGGGACCTCTTTTCTCTCCCCTCTGCAGTGCAGTGTGGACTTTACCTCTCATCTGACCATTTAGTCTGGATAAGAAACAGCCAAACCCCATAGATCTGCAGTTTTGCATTAACTGTTAATTGAATAGAGAGGGAAAAAAATGCAAAAGCATACATGCAAACTAAATGAAGCAAATGAAATAGCCTATGCCAAGCCATCAAATTAATCTGATAGATCAAACTCTATCTACTGAAGAACATCATGTCTGACACAAACCCTACCTGTTTGCCCATACTCCCTGCAAAGCCACAGGTGACAAAACGACACGTGCGTGCTTCGTCTTATGAAGCTTGGGGTACTTGCAGTCATTCACAAGACAGACACATTTCCCACGCTTGCGATGCTGGAATAAACTCCTTAGAAGGCCATCACTGCCGTGTTAGATTAAATAGTTTAAGCCATACTTCATTTGCAAAGTTGGCTAGAAAATGGGAATGGTCTAATAAACCCCTAGTAGTTAACTGCACTAATTTCAGAACAGGAGGATCTCACACTTGCCAAGGAGCTCTCTGAGAGAAGTTTGTCTAGGCGGAACCAGTCCAGACATCACTTTCTTGAAATGAAAATTTATTTAAGAAGAACATTAAGAACATTAAGAAGAAGCCAAGTGTGTATTTGTAGGTTTTTTTTGAGAGTTAGGTGCACAGTGGTGAATGCAACAAAGTTTTTATATGGTAAATCCAGAGTAATGATTCAGGAGTGGCCTTGGGCAGAAGAGGCTTGAAATTAATTCTGAAAATTTTCTTTATGCTTTTTATCAGCTACCTACAGTTAATGTGCCTTTCTTCCACTTGGAAGGATTCAAAGCACAATAAGTTTCTGAGTTTTCTTTTTGCTTATCAGAATTGCCCTTTCAGCTGAGGAGATGATACAGAACTATGTGTTCTACAGATTGCAACAAATTAGAGCTAACACAGTTTATGTTTCAAGCAGTAAATATCCTGCAAATTTAGGAAGCTGTTAGTGTATGGCCTTTCATATTTTTCTTTCTAACCTGAAACCAACCTGAAAAGTCAAAATATTTCAAATATTGCAGCAAATATATATTTAAATTCATATGTATATAATATATAGGAATGTATATTATATATAATTTATATATATGAATATATACATATATTCAAATATATATTCAGCAAATATTGCTGAACACATTTGAACAGTGTGGGGATTGCTATCAACAAACAGAAAGCCACAGCCTAGAGCTGGGAATCTCAGTACTCCAAGTGCACTTATTGCGAGAATTAAAAGAGGAAGTATTTGCCCCCGATAAAGAGCAAGAGAAGCTAGCTCCGTCCAGGAGCTTAGATGTGTATCTAGCCTGTGGAACATTAGTATCAGTAGAGCACTCACAAGGTGTAAGTTAGGTTTGCCTTTAAGCATCTTTGTGAGTGTGGAACTGGAAAAGTCAGTGATTTGCTTAGCTCCAGCAATCAAGCTATGAGAATTCCAGCAGGCAAAACTGGAATTTAATAAAATGGTAAGTATCAGGGCATGACAGTTAATTGTCATTCAGTGCTAAGGTCCATTATCCTTCAAAACGTCATTACAGTGTTAAGATATCAGGAACTTTCTTGCTTTCTTGCTTTTTATTTAAAAATTAAAATGAAAGAAAAATTATCACTTCCATCTGGGTTTGCAGTTCTACAAACTGAACTACCAAAATCTGTCATTAACATATTTATCGCATCTGTCTTCACAGCAAAATGAAGACTGGAATTAAATTGATAAGAAGTAAGCCACATTTTTCAGCAAATGAGTTTTCCTGCAACGCCTCCTTTGCTTCCTCCTAACTATTTCTTTTCTTCTTCCAGAGCATTTTTTAAGGATTTGGGTCCTTTCTATATTTGGTTTAATACAAGCATTTCTACTGTGCAGCAAGACAATAAAATTCCTAAACAAATACATAGAATAGAAAATCCATGCAGGGAAACCAGCAAGGAATAGGTGAGAACAGAGTTTAGAGATGAATAATCTTTTGGTACGAAGGTACCAAGTACTTTGGTACTTTTGGTACTGAGGAAGGAAAGCATAGTTCCTTAGCAGATGCAAATATGAATGTGCAAACATAAGAACCACAGCTTCTCTCTAAGCATTATGGCTCCTGAGGCTGCAGCAGGGCTTCCTGTTCTTCCCGCTTTCCACTCTGCATCCAGCGAAGAGGAAGTTCCCATCCTCTCCTTCTGGAGTTTCACCATGTCCTCGACCCTCCCTTCTGTATACCACAGGTATCATTTCTCATATCACTTTTCTTTGTAAGTCCATAACAAACACAGTCGGAAGGCTGGAATCGCTGCCCATGCAGATTTATGATTCATGGTGCCC